TAAAAATGTTGGGTATTCAAATGTATCGTCTTACAATCTAAATAATAAAGCAAGCAGCTTTATGACCCAACCAAAAAATAACATAACTTCCTTCCCTTGAATTTCGGAAATAAATAGTCTGACAAAGTCTTTTTAATCCACATGAACAAATTGGAAAAGAAACACGAAATTAAATCCATAAACCAGATGAAATGAGCGGAAGAAGTATGTACACAAAAATCCTCTGTAGGGGCTGTTCACTTATTACGTAACGTGAAAAAATGACTTCTTAGACCCCCCCCCCCCTCGTAACAAAATTTGTATGAAAAAAAATTTCCTTGTTTGAACCGTAACAAAATCTTAGACCCCCCCCTCCCCCTAAAAGCGTTACGTAATAAGTGAATGGCCCCGTATAGGAAAAGGTCGTTAAAATTAAAAGCATTTCATGCTAATGTTTTGATAATCATTGCTACCGGGGAGATGGAACCATAAAACATTCTCATAAATTTAATATATTTATCTTTACTGAAAGATTATTGCACCAAAAACACAATGAAAATGAAATTGAAATGAAAATTGAAGAATTTTTCCACAGAGAAATAATGAGGAAAATTTCAGCTACTCTTGGGGTAGATAAACAATTTTATATCTTTATTCAGAAAGGGGAAGAATGAAAAGCATATTGCAGTATACGAGGGAGTTTCCACTTCCTGGATGATTTTTTTTGCTTTCGCATAATTCTTCTGCTTAAATTTTTTACGCTTCATTTTTACGATTATGAAACTCTTTTTATAAGTCGCAAAGATTCCTTCATTCTTTTTCTTGTGTTTTTGTGAGAAAGAACTTTTCCTTGCTGTTATTTTGTCAGATTCATCTAAGTTCTGCGTGCAATCTCTCAAGGGACAATTATTATACAATAGCCAGTTTAATGAAATGTCTACCTGACATTGTTTGTACCTCAAAAAACTTTTGGGAAATTCATTAAAAAAAGAAGAAAAATCTACAAGACTTCTACTCAAGGGATTAACAGATACATGCTCAGGATGCTGAATAAATGAGAACAAAATCGTGAAGAAAAGAAAAACTTTATGTTGAGAGAATGAAATAAAATGAAAGTAAAATTGTTGATGATGCAAAGTTATGAGACCCAAATGGGGTTTGTTTTCTCCCTTCTTCCTTTATCCTACTTTCTTTTGTTATATTTTTCTACCCCTTGGGGTGTTTCTGATTTGTTCATTGCACGATGATGAAAAACTGAAACAAAAAGAAAAAATTGTGGCACCAGCATGATTCATACGAAGAAATTTTTCTTCTCCCCCCGACAGAAAAAGGAAAACAATCGGACATTAGAAAATGTTCTACTTCAAAAGAGAGTTCATCGACACTTTCACTGGACATGAAATGAAATGAAATAAGCAATAAGAAATGAAAGAAAAATTTTTATGATGCAATAAATCCTGAATGAATATTTCAACGCCATTATACTTTTTACTTTACCTTGTTTCATACAAAAAATTATTCCATAAAAGTATACCTATATGTTTCACCTGGATGGTAGTGATGATGATGGTGGCAGCAAAATTGTTGTTGATTCCTGTGGTGTAGGCAATTTTATATAACACAAAAATGTCATAAATATTTTTATCGTACAAGAGTTACCTTAAAAATGAACATGCTGACTTTTTTATTTCATCTTTCTGTTGTCAAAAGCCAATGGCGATTTTAAGCGAAAAGATTTAAGATAAAAATAAGAATGATTCTGAGAAGGAACAGATTTAGGTACCATAATAATTGCATTATGAGACATTTTGATTAAATGATTGAAAAAAAGGTTTGATTAATTGCTGTGTGTTGATTCATGAAATCGATCACTTAGGAATTTTAATGGAATAAATTCTAAGGCGTAGACGCTAATGATTAAACTTCCTTTCAATTGCATTTCATGATTTTCAAAAAAAAAATCTTTGAAGCTTCAGTCATTAGTCTAGCAGAAACTTGATTGTAGTCAAACTAAATATGTTAATTAATGACAAACATTTTTATTCTAGATGTTGAATAAATAGTGATTACTATTTGTCTAGTTTTAAGCAGTTGTTTAACTTGCTTTGATAATTAATACAATTTATCAGTAATAGCATAATAACATTGTTTTAACAAGTTCTTAACAAATGCTAAGTTGAATCATAATGAACTTAAATATTTAATTGAGTTCTAAAAAAATAATCAAACCTAAATGACTGCAACATTATACCAAGGTCTATAATTAAATCTTTTGATCTTGGCCATGGCAGATTTAACACCTAAAATTATCCATCTTTAGTAAAGGCTCATTAGCTGCAAATTATAAACGTGAAAAGTACCACTCGGGAATTCATTAATTAAGAACCTTCTACCTCACTCATTATTATCTGTTTAAAGCAAAAATTTAAAGCCCAAAAACATTCTCGTTCTGCTCGCTTACCTAATGGTTCTATTCATTAATCCTTTTTTTTTCTACAGCGCATAATTAATCTCCCAAACAATATGCTGATGAAATTAATTACTGCTTATGGGTTTTAACAGTATTTCTTTGTGTGCCTGCCTCGCAAAACAGAAATAAATAAACAAGTTTTTCATATCAAATTGCCTTTTATTCTTCTGTTCCATCATCATTTCATGTTCTTTCAATTTAATAGCAGAATTTTGCTTTTTGGAAGGGACTCAATTATACAAAATGTGCACATATTAGGATAACTTTTTCTCACTGTAATGTTAAAAAATTTAATTAACGCCGCATTGCCTAGTTTGCATAATGTCAATTTAAATTCATACAGAGAGAATTGCAGTATAAAATCAGTATTGATAGATGGATGGAGGATTGGATGTGACATAGCAAGGAATATGTTATTTAAGGCAAAATGTTCGTTGATGGATATAAAATGAATGATTGATGACAGTCACACCGATGTGATGTATGTGAATTCAAAGACACAACAACATAAAATTAATGTGGAATGTCAGAGATAAATATTTGTCATTAAGTTAAACTTTTTGAGAAAAAAAAATGAAAAATATTTTTAAATGAATATAAATAACAAGTCGTGATGAAGTCATTAGCTTAATCAAAACAACAACAAACTATCAAGTTCAAGATACTTAAAGTGTTTAGGGTCACATTTTCTTATTACATACTTATTTAGAATGATTAGAAATGAATAATATTATTGTAATCTTTCTTCCTTATCGCATACAATGCTTATAAACATTCTCAAAGATTCATTGGTGTGACAAAGCTCATTAATTAAACTTAATTATGCTTATCGCTACGGAACGTGATAATCAATTAACACGCTGAACAAAAATGAAATTTCAGAATCATAAAAATAGTATGACACCCACATAGACACTTGCTCTATATATCCGACAGCTTTGTTTATGCTCGATTGATCTTCCAATTCATGTAGTTTACGCATTTAACTTTCAATGTTGAAATCAATGGGTGCAAGTAGTTCGACGAGCTTTAATGATGCAATTTAAGTGTAATTACGGCCCGAAATGGGTTCTTTAATGGGAACTGATTAATGTGTTTTCGAAAGGTTAGTGATGTTCTGACTAATGGTACAAAAAATCTAGTAATTGAGAAGATTTATGTGGAGCTATTATTTAGTAATATGCTACTTTATTTTTGTGAAATTTTTTGGCAAGATTTTGATATACTACAAAGTTTTGTTTACTTTATTTAAATAAATATCCCCAGAAGATTTCATGGTCTTTTACCATACATCATTTATCAAAATCAAAATCTTCATCCGTCCTTGTATTAATCCGGTCTATACAGTCAGCAATTTAATTATGAAAAGTATTTTAATTTCCATTTTATATGCTATGCACTGATCCAGATCATTCAACACATGAAACACAAAAGTTTCGTAATCGGATGTATAAATGAATTTAAAGAACATCAAAAAGATTACTCAATAACGTGAAAGTCATTCATTCATTCATTGAATAAGATAATACAAAATGACAAAATGAGAGTGGCGCTGATAAAGAATGGAAAGTAGAATGTATGAATAAAGTAAGAGTTATGTTTGACTTTTGAATAGTACACACGATAATCGTATTAAATTACAATGCTTAATTACCGTGAGCATTGAACGAACATGCTCTTGGTCACTTCCTCTACTAAAAATGAAGTTCTTCATTGTATAAACAAGAATGAAGTTTCAATTAGAATAAGTTATTCTTAGTCATTGAATGAAATTCTAAACCTTTGTATGCTCACTCTGTACATTACTTAATTTTATTTTATTGCATAACGAAACATAAACAGTGCTAAACAGAGTGAGAAATTTATATCTGGCATAGTTGAGTAACATATTTAAAAATGTCGGGTGCGTGCCAAATTTTTATGTTAATTTTTTCATACATGAAAACTCTCAATTAGCATTTACCAAGTCGACATAAAAGATTTTGATTAGCAACACCCTGAATAATTATTAGCAGGCCTTAAAATGAAATACTATTTCGAATTACAAATGAGCTATAGAGATTGAGATTGAACTGATTATTGTGAAGTGCGAATTTTAAAATTAAGTAATTAATGCACAGCAATTATGCGTTAAAATGCTGTTTACGGATACCTGTGTTACTAATTCGTTAAAAATCACTATGAGTTTAGATTTAATTAAATCAAGTCGGGACTATTTACAACAACCAACATTTTTTGTGTCTCGAATTTCATTACAGAAAAAAAGTAAAAATTCATGTTCAACCATGTGTTTAGCGGTCGCAAAAAAATGCCATAAAGAACATTTTTGGTTGCAAACTAGAACGTGATTTTATGTCAAATGCGAAAAATTGTTGAACTTTGAAAGCAAAATGCGCAATGAAAGCAAAATTCAAGTTTTGGTCATTCATGAAATTTTTTCAACCAAAAATCACGAAATGTGAATCTTTTTTTTTATTTGATTGTTGCAGATTCAAGCATACACGACGAGAAGTCATTTAGTCAGTCAAACAAACAAAACGCAAATAAAAGTATGGATGAGGAGATTTTAAAAACAGTTGAAGCAGTATTGGGCAAGAATATTGAAATTGTTGATTGTCAGAAAACAAAGACAGTTCAAGAGGAAGAGATTTTATTAATAAATGGAAAGCCGATAAAACTCGAAGGCAGCGATGGAGCGGCAATAAAAAAGGCTCTTATGACAGGACAAATTCCACCATGCGATTTGCTCAATCAAATTTTATTTCAAGCTGGAATACTTCGACAACCAGTTCATTTGGAAACGACATTGAGTGTCAAATCAAGTCTGACAACGACCGAAGAGATTCGAGTTGCTCGCAATGGTATTATTCTCGATGAGAGATCACTGGAAACAAAAGAAGATAATTATTACACAAGTGAATGTACTGAGGTGTGGGAGCCTATAGGAAAGGTCACCACATTAATTAAAAATTCCAACGGGGTCACAGACGATTATTGTCTGCCATCAGCTGATGAAAATTTGACATTTATAAAGCGCAATAAAACATCATCGTCCACACAAATACCGCCAATGCGTCAAAATTCTGTATGCACAAATGATTCAATATATTCTTCATCAGCATCGTCCTCCTCTCGTCCGACAAGCGATTTGTCCGTCAATATAAGTAATAGTGACATGAATCTCTACGATAACATTCAGTCGTATCTAATAAATAATCATGGCCATTCGAATAATAATAATAATAACATTCACACCAGCACATCTCTTGATCCGAAACTCAATCAAAGTTTGAGTTGTGATTCCGGACATCATGACTACAGTCTCACATCAACAACTGTTAATGATGATGAATACATTATTCCATCTACTGCAACACAATCATCAATTGCAACTCAAAGTTCTTTCAATGGCACCGAAAGTAATAAAACTGCAAATTGCTCAGCCGCATCAATCGACGAAATTGATTTCCAAAGGTGTCGCATTAATGGCGAACCGTTATTAATTAAATTGAAGCCACAACACTATTTGGTATGATGATCAATTTAAACTTTTCACTACATGGGACAAAATTTAATTAAGTTGTCGTAGCTATTGGTTGGTAAAGGTTTTTTTTTTTTGGGGAAATGGGAATGCTTTCATCTCACTTGATAAATATTAATGAACATGATGATGATGATGCAGGTTTTAGAGAACATAATTTACTTTGAAAATTAGGATATATAAAAGAACATGAAGGCAACTCACTACTCCTTTGAGTGTCATTCCTTTTTTTAAAACATATATGTCGAAACTTATCATGCATTAAAACTTTATCTACTTTAAAAAAACAGAACTCTTGTCTCTTTTAATGCTACATTGCATTTACGTAAACATTTTGAATCGTTCGCAAATATTTTATATTTTATATCAATATTTACTACTTGAAAGTGATAATTATGGCAACCTACACAATAATTAAAAGCTTGTACATTTCACCTTAAAAATCACATTTCATGTCAAAATTAACAAAACAAAAGGCATATTGTATAAAATTCATACCTAATATTCAATGCCTCTACAAGTAAAATCAATTAGTTAAAATTATGCAATAACCTTCAGATTTTTAAACATCAAAACCTCCTCTCTTACTCATCACTACTCAATTTGATGAAGCGCAAATGTTTTTGTTACTGTTCAAAGACTTTTCATGAATTAAGACTAAAGTTATTCATATGAACACAAAGGCGAGTTGAAAAAATTTTAATGGATTTTCTATTTTTAAGTTTCTATTTCTTCAAAATTAATCCCTATGTCCATGAATACTGCACTTTTCAATCATTTTCCTACATGTGAAGTTCATATAAAATTTCTTTTTTGACCGCCGTCTGCATACTTTTGTGAAAATAAAATTGAGGAAGTCTGAAAATAGATTGAACAAAAAATGAACTCGAAATTTATGCGACTTTTCAACCATAAAATGAAATATTTTCGCTGCAGCATTTTTTATTTCATTTAAAAAATTCAATATTTTGTCGCACTCAGCATTTCCGCATTTTCCATCATTAAAGTCAACAAAAGCGTCTGCCAAAATACTAGAAAATAAAACAGTCTAGTGAATTTTACGTGTCTACAATAATTTTTGTTTTATTTTCCTAATATGATTCATCATCATCTATCAGTTTAATTATCTCACAAGAGCATGTGAAGAAAGGTAAAATACAATGAATTTACCGGTAAAATAGAAAACTGTCGACATAATGCGTGGCGTGGAATAAATTAATATTCGCTGTCAATGCCAAAGACGCTGTATTTCTCTCATCATCAATTTCTCATCGTGCCAGATGAAAAATAACAAAAGATGAAGTATGAAATTGAATCTATTTCCTTCAGACTGTTGTGATACATTTTGGGGAAGTGAATTCACTTACGGAGATTTCACATATATTTATATAATTGAATGTCTGCATGAATTCTCATCTAATACAATCATTTATTCAAAATGTCGTCGGTATTGTCATGACATGATTCTTCTCGTGTGGTATAAATATCAATTAAATTGATGAAAGAGAACGAATAAACGTAATTTGTCCCCTTAGTTCCACCATCAACCTTCATGAACATGAAAAATGATCTTTTGCTTGGGTATTGAGGGAAATTATATGAGAAATACAGCATACATACTCATTTTTAATGTTGTACAATATTTTCATTCCATTAGTGACTCAAAGATCATCGTCAATTTCATGGATGACAGAAAATTTAGCGAAATCATTTTTGCGGTCAATGATACTCATTATTATTTTATTTTTTTCTTCTTGCATTATATTTAGCCAACCATTTTTGGCACAGTGGCGTCAGATCAATCACCCAAAGATATTTCCAGTCGACGAGTAAGTGAAAAAGATTTTTTAATATGATTCTATGGAAATTAAATTAACATTTCTATGCCATTTCAGGGCCTTCCACAAACTGTGTCCGGCCATCAAGTAATATCATCCACCGACGAATTCGACTCAGATGAGAATGTAAGAAAATTTGAGGATTTAATTTAAGTTTTTCACTCGCATCTTATTAATTTTTTTGTCTCAAAGTTGCAATGTGCAAGTCCATCTATGTGACTTATGTGATTTTATAAGCATAGTTCCTGAAGAGAACACAAAAATATAATAAAAACAGTCATTGTAAACTTCTGTTTTGTACATAATGAATTGTGACGTCATGTCACGTTGTGTCTCTAAAAAAACAACCACAGATGTGTGAAGACAAAATTTAATTAAAAGCAACTACACACAATTTTATTCTTTCTATTCTCTTCCGAATAGACTCTAATTTATCGTGATGGAAATTTATCGTCAGCAACATTGGAGGCACTAATACAGCACATGGTTCCCACTAACGACTATTATCCAGATCGTTCATATATTTTTGCATTCTTGCTTAGTTCGAGGCTTTTCATAAAACCATATCAATTACTATCGAAAATTTGGGATCTTTCAACACAGCAACAGAATTTAAAATCATTTATTCAGGTAAGAATTAGACACAAGCTGCTAATTGTGATCATTAAAATTTAATAAATACTAATTTCTTATCTAAATAGCAAAAGCTCGCGCAGAATAATCCAAAGTTGAGTCGGTTTTCACAATTTTTAATTCAATTGCTTGCCGAATGGGTAGACACCTTTCCATATGACTTCCGTGACGAGCGGCTAATGTCACAAATAAAAGAAATCACACAAACATCTATCCAAATAAATCCAAGTCTTCGGACGGAAGTTTCACAATTGCTGCAGAATCTTCTGTCAAAACTCCAAGAGCTCGAAAATTATGAGGAGCATTTAGAGAAATTGAATCAGCAGACGAGCAACGGAAAAGACGAATGTGATTCAACAAATAAATCGCCAAATAATGCCAATGGATTGCAACAGCAAATCTCTGTTCATTCTAATCATAGTCATAAGAGTAATTCATCAAGTAGTTCCCTGATTGTGTCAACCCTAAGTCATCAGAGCGATATCTCCGAAATATGTTCATCACCCTTACTTCTTGCCCATCAATTAACTCATATCGAACTCGAACGTTTATCACACATCGGGCCAGAAGAGTTTGTTCAAGCCTTTACAAAAGAACATCCATCAATTGAAACATCGTTTAAGGATCTCAAAAAGACACGCAATTTGGAATCGTATGTGACATGGTTTAATAGATTAAGTTATCTTGTTGCCACTGATGTTATTAAGGTAATTGGGAATTAATTTGCTTTTAGAAATTTCCAAACATTTAATTTCTTCTTGTTTGATCTCTAAAGCATCCGAAAAAGAAGCAGAGAGCGAGAATAATCGAGTTTTGGATTGAGACGGCACGTGAGTCATTTAACATTGGTAATTTCAATAGCTTGATGGCAATCATTGCGGGACTCAATATGTCACCTATTTCAAGACTTAAGAAAACGGTAAATTCAAAATTCTTAAGACAAAAACTCTTAGGCTTAATATTTTACAATTTTTTTATCAGTGGGCCAAAATTCAATCTGCCAAATTTTCAATCCTCGAACATCAAATGGACTCATCAAGTAACTTTAGTAGTTATCGTTCAACATTAAAAGCTGCGATGTGGCGATCAGCTGGTGCCACAGATGAACGAGAAAGAATTGTTATTCCATTTTTCTCATTACTTGTTAAGGATCTCTACTTCCTCAATGAGGGATGTTCCAATAAGTAAGTGTACCATCATACTAATTTTAAAAACTTTACTTATAACAACTCTTCTCCTTCTTAGACTGCCATGCGGACATATAAATTTTGAAAAATTCTGGCAATTAGCAAAACAAGTGACAGAATTTATGGCGTGGAAACAAGTAACGTGTCCTTTTGAAAAGAACGATAAGCTCATCAATTATCTCCAAACCACCAGTATTCTCAATGAATGTACACTAGCATTAGCCTCATTTGAATGTGAACCACCCGAGAATAATCACGAAAAAGATCATTTTAAATTTCTTAAAAATGAAGTCCACAAATGAACACCCGCGAATTTAAACTCGTATAGATTTGATACAATCGATAAATTAATTGATGACCTAAGATTATATAGATACACATATATAGAAGTTTACATATATGAATGATCACAAACACACAAAAACAAACAAGAAGTATTCTCTTTAATTTCAATGTGATTGCTACTGCTATATTACACATATTTACTTATTTATTATTAAGTGTCAATGTTTTTCAATATCGTAGTTGGACAGAAGCTTGCTGCTTTCGTATCATATGAACAGTAACACACATATTTTTATATTATTTCATACGGAAGTGCGAATATGAGTAATTTTTGTGCTTTTGTGACTCGTTGTGTTTCTCTGTCATGTTTTATTCAACACTTCCAATAACTCATTGGCATTCGGATGACATAAAATGGAAATGAGTAGAGAAATCAAAAATAATCTGTTTTTTTCGCGGGTCTCACACCTTCACGCAAAAATGGATATGACAAAACTAAAGGAAGGAAAATAAAATTTGTTTTTTTTTTAAGTTTGCGTACCTGGCTTCTAAAAAATCATAATAATAATAACATTAATATTAATTATAGTAATTAATAAATGCATAACAAAATTGATTATGATTAATGTCAATTTAATCAATATCTCGAATAATAAAAAAAATATTTCAACTTGAATGATGGAAGAAAAAATAATATTATTTTTGATAATAAATGAAGCATAATCATGCTCTGGTTCTGAATACTTACTTAATTTCAAAGTAATATTCGAATTATTTCTAAAGGTATTATTTAATTTATGAACGAACGACAATTTTATTGACTTTTAAAAAATTAGAGAAGATAAATTGGAATTGAGTTGGGAAGATGGTGAAAATTTTTGATGAAATGGGCCATAACAACTTTAAAATTTAACAACGAATGCCTAAATCTTTTAAAATCAACATCGAAATATTTTTTGAAACCTCAGATCATAATTAAATTTTCACCAAAACTTCCAACAAAAAAGGGCAATGGCAAGAACTTTGGCAATGTATTTCGTTTAATTTATGAATTTAAAATTAATCAAAGAGTTCTAAAACATAAAGAACGAATGAAAAATTTAAGCATAAAAGAAAGAATTAATCTAGTCACTAATACATTACAAAGTAAAGAAAAATTGAAATAATTGGATTAAACTTTTTTCTAGAAATTAAGATTTGTAATTTTTATTAAAAAAATAAAACAAAAATATTTCTAAAATATTTTTTCACCAAACAAACAGTTTAGCTTCTGTAAGTAAATCAAATCTTCCTTCCGAACATGGAAGGCAAAAATTATAATTGAAATTTCATGTTAAGTGGATACTATGAAGTTTAATTTATGATTCTGTGAATGTAATAAATTATTTTTCTTAGTACTGCAACAGAAAATTTCATTTCTGTTTAATGTTCAAAAAATTTGAAAGAAGTAAATGAAATAGAAATTAACAAATATAAGCTAAAAACTCCATTCCAATCAAACTTGTTGTACTTCAGCATCTGTAACAGTAATGTTCCAAAAACACACTCAAAAGTATTATATTGCATCAATCATAGAAATACAAAAAAATTCAATCTAGTGCAGTCGTTATAAATTCATAAAACAAATTTTCAGAATTAAAAAATTATTGACCAATTTTATTCAATTTTGTTGCTTTGTGAATTTCATATTTTTTAAAAAGTTCAAATTCTGCAAAAAAATAAAATTGGTCCACAAAAACTCAAAAGATTCTCTTAACATTTTAATAAATGAGGAATAAAAGACTTAGAAGTTTAACATTTTTGACAGATTACATTGTCTTAAATATCAATATCCAAAAAAAATTAAAAACGTCACATGTATGCATGATACTTGATACTTCAAAGAAATAATAAAAAAATTTTTATTTCATTAAGAATTTTTGTTCTCATTTTTTCTCAAAATATACAAAAATACATTTATAAGATGAAAAATAACACAATAAAAAAAATCTTAAAAATTAAACTTAATGTCTTTTTTTATTTTTTGTTTGATTTTCTACTTTTCAGATAATACAAAATATTTTATTCACTGGACAGTCTCGACAATTTACTTAGTATAAAATCTAATTAAGTTGTGTTTTATGAGACACATTGGTCATGAATCAAACTTTATAATTTGATTATGAAAAGTAGCCTCAACAATTACGACCGTAAGTCTCATAAACTTTTTGTCAATCACTTGGGGACAATAACTTGAGCTTATTTTTTTCATCCATCGTATTTGTGGGTAAACTAATTATTGTTAAAGAATATATTTTAATTTCACTTTTTATACTGGATTTTCATTGGGAAAATTTATTCTTATTAATTTAAAGGAATTGAGTTTTTTAAGTCACAACTCGATAATCAAAATTATTCAGCTTCAACAATATCAGTAATTTTTTAAAATAGTGAACTTTTTTTCTGGAGATACTACAGATCCATAGAATCTTCCTAATTAAGTGACCTCATCATTATTAATTATCACTTGCAAAGATCTCTACTTGAAAAATAAAACATTTTCAAAGATAATATCAAATTGATTTCCACTTTACAAATTATTTCTGGTTAATTAAAGTCTAAAATTCTCTGTAAATTTTCAATTGACACTTTTAAGTGGCGTTAGTGCCAACTTTATTTAAGTGGCGAACAACTGTTAATGTTTTGTAACTGTATAAATGTACGACAAACATTTCTAAAATCTAAACGTTTTGTAAAATTATTGTAATTGTCTTAAAATTTTCCAATTACCATAAATTCCTGATAATAATCGTTTACTTTAAAACCCTTATCAAAGTTCAGTTACGAGATCCCTCCGACTCAAAATATTTGGATGTAAATATTTATAATAAAAAATCATGGCACCAATACCGCATGTGAATGATAAAATTGGAACAATACTAAGAGTGTAAGCAAACTCAATTGAAATTGTTGTATACATGAAGAAAATTATAATGGCAATCAAATTTTTGATTCCAGTGAGACAATAGAAAAAGACATATCGTGAAAATGTATTTTTTGTTTCTTTCATTAATATGTAAGTAAAAATAAAAACAGCACCAAATATCATTGAGAATGCAAAGCTATGAACGCTCGTATATGAGCAAAACTTTGATCGATCGAGTAGAAAAACCCATAGGGTCATTAGAAATGCATGACTGGCAACGCCAATCAGAGAATAATATGGAAATACTGATGTTAGAAGAACGATTGAAAGAACACGAGCAAATGTTACAAGGAAATGCCAAACACATTGGCAGCAAATGCCTGCAAAACTCAATTGTCTCTTGTCAGGTTGCGCCAGTCTTATGCATCGTTGATATGCAGCCATACTCCATGCAAAACCGCTAAATGCACTGGACAGTGATAGAATTTGTGCAAATGTCGGATTAAATCCTGAATTTACAATTGCTGTCATGTGAATAATTTTATGAGGACACGAATCTAAAAACATTTCTATTATTCTGATAAGTGCAACATCGCTCTCTTCCATTACCATAAGTTTATAGTATAGTCTTTGTCTCTCCTCGTCTTTGTTACGTTGTGCTCGTAAACATTTGATTTGATAAATAAGGGATTGCATGAAACTGTAAAAGATATTAAGAACATGCAAATGAATATAAACAAGCAGATTACATGAATAAGATAGAAGAACTGCATACCGTAAAGTGTAAGGAAAAATTACGACGAAAAAGATAAGACTACAATATCCTTTCTTTCGCTTGTTGTCTTCCAATTTCGAGTCCTCATAATGTCTAAGAATAAGCATAGCATTTAATATAGCAAAACTTTCAAGCATAAAAAAATTTATCATGCAAATGCATACTTACAGTGTAATTGACAAGGCAATAGAAATAAAGGCAGGAATCAGTATGAAGCACATTGTCAGTTTAAAAAATAATATTTCGCCTTTTGCATAGTACTCGTGTGCGAGATAGGCATTGAATAATACTGTAAATAATCGAAATAATATCGATACAACATTCGATACAATATCCAATTTTGTAACACGAAAATCAACTTGTTCATTTAATACAACATCCTTAACCGCGTTAAAAAATTTTGTTGTTCTTTCTTCTCTCAAAACTCTCATTTCCGTAGCTTCAACCATTACCGAATTAAAGAATCTTTTTTAAAACTTTTCTTGCACATAAACTTTATATGAAGAAATATTTTAATTACATGAATTATTAAAAGCATTCAACTGGTGTTTTTTGGCATTTATAAGGCACATTTTACTGATGCTTATTCAATTACTTATATTTTGCTGACTAAACAAACGAATGTTGCCTTTTTTGTTTATATTATTAGCAGTTTTTAAAAGTTATATATGCTGTACTTTTGTGTTTCTATACGGACGGAATGTCCCAATTGTACAATATCGGCAGTGTTAAAGTCTTCACTCAAAATGTGTGATGCATGATTAGAAAATTCGTTTTTACTCGAGAAGGATCAATTGATTTTGTGAGTTTGAAATTTTAAGCAATTATAATTTTGATGATTCAAATTTGAAAATCTTTACAATTCCCTGAAAAACTGTGAAACGAGGAAAAGATTTAAAACTAAGAAAAGCACCTTTGTTGTTAACACATAGTATGCTACTCTAGACTTGATGAGGAACATCTTACTGAAATTAGCGCCCTCTTATGGATCTTTGAGTTTATTCGGATTTAAATATTTACAGCGAATATTTCTAAAGCTTTCTAAGTAACAAATAAGATGATGAACATAGATTAATTAATGTTTTTTTTGCAATTCTTGAATTATTCATATGAATTTAATTTTATAATTTTTCTAGGTATTAAAATGAAATGATATGTGCTCTCCAAAAAGAATATTTTTTTTCTTTTGAATGAAATTTTTTCTGTGTGATTCCAGGCTAGTAAAGTGGTTTTGAAGTAAATGTTGATAATGAAACAAATATATGTAAGTTTGTTCGAAAATTAAAACTATCAGAAATTTAAAAAGACTACAAAAAAAAATAACTTTGCAGATTTCAAATCAAAATTTGCTAATTTTGTAGCAGCTTCTTTTGTCATTTTCGTTCAATTTATAAAGCTCATAAACGATCAATGTCAATCGATATACAAAAAAAAATATGAAAAGCTTGTTAATGAAACTTTTAATCCTCTCAACTATCGCGTTCTACATCTATCAGCAATTGTGCGAAATTACAAAAATCCTTTGGAAAGCTCATTTTGGAAAACTTGATGAAAATATTCATTCTCATTTTTCTCGTTTCACATGCAATGTGTTGAAAAAGAATCTCCTCTCGCTCACACAGAGTTAATTTTACATTTTCTCTAACATTTCTCTTCAGTCGACGATAGATTTTTCAACAGAGAAGCGAAAGAAAGTCACAAAAAAAGAAAAATAATAATAAGAAACTAGAAATAAATGTACTTAAATATACATACTTATATATTTTAATAGAATCATCATCATTATTATAGTTTTTTCGTGCATTGTGTACTAATATTAGACACATAATAGCCTTATAATTAAGTAGTCATCGTTTAGACGTTCAAGCATTAAATTTAATTCTGTTGTTTTCCTTTTGTCAAGTTAATTCATTTATATTTGATATCTGAAAAACAGTAACGAAAATTAATTAGACTACATTTTATTAAAGAGATTTGAATTTCTAAGTGAGAACTTTTATATCATTTTGTCCTTGTTTCATGTTTGAATTGGAAATTTTTATGTGGTAAATAGAAAAAGAAAGTTGCGGAAAAAAGTTCTGTTATCAAACAATTCATTTTTTTATGATCAATAAGAAACAAAAAGAAAAACACAAAACAAAAAGTAATAAGTGAGACTGGGAAAAAAGAAGGAAGGAAGAAGGAAAAGTGATTTATTTTGTTCAACGTCAACATTTGCAAAACGAAATAATCAAACTAGACCACCTTACCTAATGCATATATCTATAAGTGTGTATAAAAGTGAATCATTTTAAGGACAAAAGTCTTTGTTGTGCTATGCTGTGCTTTTTGGACGGTAAATGTCAAAGAGAGGAAAAATAAATAGCAAAAGCAAGTTTTTTTTAAATATAAATTCTGCATTCATCGACCAAAGTACTATCTTACATAACAGACAGCAAAAAGAAGACAAAAATTTATTTTTCGCAACCGAAAAAAAAGTTTTTCTCTCATTTTTTGCGAATGTCTAAAAGAATAATAGCAAAAACCAGCAGCTTCAAATATTTTAACACACACAAAAATGTAAGTACGATAGAGAAACTTTTTTCACTACCATTAAATTCTAGCAAGATGAAATGAACTCGAAAAAGTTTTCATTATGGGGAAAATGAATTTTAAAAAAAAATCTACATGAATTTTTAATGAAACTTGCGTCTGACACCGTCAGGTAAACAACAACAACGACGGAGGAAAATAAATTTCACATGAAAAATATTTTATGAAAATTACGTTCCTAGGTCAGTGTGTGCTTGTATGTATATGTACACTTACTTCTTTTTCAACATAGTTTTTCACTCTTCACTTCACCTACTCTCTTTTATACACTTTTTTCTCTTTTATAGCTACAGTGATATATTGCGGCAATTCACTGCTATAATGTTGGCTGTTTGATTGAGGGATTTAAAACTTTAAAATATTATTTAAAGACGGTGTTTGAGATAAATAATTCATTTTATGAATTTAGCAAAAAAAAAGTTCTTCTACTTCTTGAGTCAATAATAATTTCAAGTATGAATATCTCTCGTTTATCGCTCGTGCTGAAAGTTTTCACATTAAAAAGCATGGAGTGGGCCCAGCCTTTTGAACTGGAGTCACAGCGATTCAAATTCGAACAGATTCTATTGTACCACTTTAGACTTATAGTTTCCTTAGAATCCAAACCATTTGCACAGTTTTCACATTAGCAGAAAAGATTTTTAATTATTTCCAGGAATCTTATTTGAAATTCATGTGCTTCGAAGGAAAAATATGAACATGTAATTATGATGCATTGCTTGATTCTTTTCAATTTTACACAAGCTTGAAATGTTTGGAATAATTTTGATTTTTTTTAATAATAAGAATATACCAGAAGAATCCATCACTAAGGGGCTGTTCACTTATTACGTAACGCGAAAAAATGACTTCTTAGACCCCCCCCCCTCCCCCTAAAAGCGTTACGTAATAAGTGAATGGCCCCTAAGCAAGACTGGATTTTTTTATTTATGAAAACGAATATTTTGGTACATATTTGGACGGACACACATTATAAAAAACCAACAAACAGAGTAATGAGACAACTACTGTTTCTATAAATCAATGCTTCATTAATATTTTACAAGAAAACTAGGTCAGTTGTCCAATGATTTGAAAAACTTTATTTTTGATGCAGGAATATGTGATTTTTTTAATTTACATGAGATACAATTGTTGTAAGATGTTTAACATTTAGATCCAAAATAATGTGCTTAGTTTTTTCTATCATAGTTTCATGTCAGAAAACAGAATACATATCTAATTTTTTAATAAATGTCAGAGCCTTGATATTATCTCAGTAGTAAATGTTTACTGCTCAAACCGAAAGGAACAAACAAAAAGTGTCAAATTTATTAAATAAAATCAACTATGAATTTCACCGCTCAATACTTTTTTTCATCTTTCCTTCAACTTTTTATTCTACACTGTGAAATAATGCCTCGAAAAATAAAAACTTCGACAAATTCTTATTAATTTTAAAACAAAGAAGAATTCATACCCACTAAGAAAATAGTGTGAAAGAAAATCGTGAAATGAGAGACACTTTATATTTTATATTTAAAAAATAACTTTTTTTTTGTCAGCCAAAATAGTTTTTAATCCCTAAAAGAATGAATGTGGAATGCAATGGCATGAAAATGGAAAAATATTTTTATTTGGGTTGCTGAAAATATCTTAAAATGACCAAACAGAATAAACAACCCAGACATATATTTTCACTCGCACATATAACATCCAAATAGAACCAATAAATCATGTAATTAGTGTCCGAAATAAGATTTTTTTACATTGTAAAAAGGTGCTGATTCACACTCCTTTAATTACCCAAATTAATTAACTTTTAATTAATAAATGTTTTTTTAAAGGTAACGAACATGAGTTTGCTTAATCACATCGAATGTTATGTCTTCCATGATGTAGTTAGCAGCTCAAATTAGGTCACAAGTAAAGTAATATATTTTAATATTTCACGACGTGTCGTGTGAAATTTGGGAATTGAGACACAAAAGAGAAACTTTCTTTGCCTTTTACAGCCTTCATTCTTCCGTCTTTATTGTGATAGAAGAATGTAACAGATGAGCATCATATTTCCTTTTAATATATACATCAGACTTTTGTTTGATATGTCTGGCTATGGAACATAGAATAACAAATCAAAAAAAACTCCATTAGCAAAATGGAAATGGTTATTAGAAAACTTGGCGCCGATACTTTTTTGAAAAGTGAATTTTCTTTTCTTGAGCTTTCTCAATTTTCCTGCTTCTTGCTTTAATTTGGCGCCAATTATACTAGATCAGAACAAAATAAGGCATTTTGCATTCAAGAAAAATGAGGAGGAAGAGCAACAATTTTTTAAGATTATTGAAAAATTGTAGAATAAACAATAGAATTTTTTGAATCAAAGAACATATGGGAATAACAACATCCATGCCCAAAAATTTGAGAATCCTTTTATATTTTGTTTCATTTTATTTGTCCTATGGAAATCCGAATTGTTTTAATATTTTAATTTTCACCACAGTTATTTTTTGAATAAAAAAATATTTGGCAATCCCGAAGGCATTTTGATATCTGTATGGAATTATTTTACATAAATATTCATGATTTTTTTTAAATGTTAATTTATTTTATATTTGTTCGAAGCTGAAAATGTATAAAATATTTCATGGATATGCATAAATTAATGATTTTTTTTTTAAATAATAAACCAAAAATTTCTTTTTGGAATGAAAAATTGTTTCCACAAACTCTGGGGGCAAATAACATTCAAAGCATTATTCTTCGGAGATTCATCACATCATCAAAAGAATCATAAATATCTAAAGAGGTGAATCTTTTATCAATATGCAATACATTTGCCAAGAATATGTCAATACCCTAAGATCATTTTCCATTTTTGTATCGTACCAAATGACTTTCTCTTCCAACAAATATATCACATTTATGATGTAGAATTTCAAGTACATTGTGCTACCGTGCATTCCATAGAAAGTATAGAATATCAACCAGCATGAAAAAGTATGCTTCAATTTTTAATTAAATTCGCATATAAATATATACTGTATATGCAATTCAAATGAAGACTCTTTTCATTCTCATATTACAATTTTCTTTCCTCATTTCTTTTTTATTCATTATTTTCACAATGCTACGAGAACTAAAAAAATTAATTCAAAACAAAACGACTGTCCTGATTTTCTCATTTAATTTCATTAAGTCTCTTGTCATAATATCATGAAAATGTTCTCTCGAAACTTTTTTTTTTGTTTTTGTGTTCGTAAAGTTGGGAAAATAAAATAGAAATTTAATTTGAAAATAAGGAATTAGTGTGGCTGAAAAGAGCGTTGAGTTGGCGACACAAAATAGAAATTCGGTCACATTTAGAAAGGGCTGTGTAATTGATTGGATTAGTAGACATAAGTTATGGTTATTTCTACAAAAATACTCGGTTATTCCATATTTAGAATATGAAATTAGATTCTCCTCGGTCTATTTGATGGACAACGAGAAAATTGCTAATCCAAATGGAAAATTTTTATCAAATTTTGCCTATGAATATAAAATATTTATGCTTTCAATTTAAAAACCGAAAGGCTGAATATAAAATGAACTTTTTATGCTAGAACGCTTTTTGGCTGCTTTGAAATTGAGAAGTATATAACAAAATAAAAATATCCATGTCAATAATCACATATAAATTTTTCAGTATTCAAATCCAAAACAGACACAAAGCAAATGAACTCTTTTACCTCTTTATCATTTATCTCACACAAAAAAAATCATATTTATTGAATAAATAAATGTCATCGCAAATTGGCATAACTTGAAATAAAAAAAAGCATTGAGAAAAACATGAAATTTCCATTTCATATAAAATTCCCAATGCACCATTTTCAGCATCATACTTTTCTTTTTCTTCACATTTTCTTTCGCCCAGCAGAATGTGCTTTAAAATTTTTTATTTATCCTGAAAACTTTCTTCTTATTTCAAAAAGGCATAAAACTTTTCTCATAAACTACGCTATAAGGCATTGACACCAGAAGCTATATAAGATTATCTTCATCATCATCATGATTTCATTGGAACTGAGGAATGTGGATAAAGCATGAATTTAACACCAGGATAAAAAGTATGGGAATCAACAGAAAAGTTTTGTTCTTTAAAAGAAATGAAATTAAATATTCCATGTGTGAAGTCGCGCACACAAAAATTCTAATGAAATTTTTTTAAAACTACTCATGACAAAATTTCATCATGCTTGATATGCTTATCTTTTGTAAATGTATGAGCATAAATATTCCGACATCTCTAAAGGAATACAAGAAAGAAAGAAAAAGTTTTTCTATCTCTCTTTTTTTTCACTTCATTCATTTGCTCGCATCTTTCACACAGCCGCATCATGCTATAAATAAAATTAAGCCAATTTGCCAAAATTTGATGACAAACATTGCGGCAAATGTAGAATGGGAGAAAAATTAAAGTGAGAGAAGCAGTGCGAAATGAAGAGATGTATTCTTTACACAACAGTCGACGTCACAATAAGATGAGAGGAGACGTCCTAATGAGATGTATGTCAAATAAGTAGCAACCACTTTTTATTATATTTTAAAATAGTTTACGGTGGTGCATACACAATAGAATTCACAGCCTATGAAAGAATTTTCAATGTCGTAACACTGAAATAAGATAGAAATAGGATCATCTGTCGTCTAAATTTAAGCACGATGCATTTTCGTATTTATTATGTGTGTTAAGTTTCGTTTTTCTTCATAAATGTCGCTCGCTCAATATTTTATCCGAGATTATGGCATGCAAAGTGAGCGGAAAATTAAGCGTTGCCATGTTTTAAAGGCACACATGTATTATCACTTAAATTTTTTTCACTCATCAAATAAAAAACAAAAAGGGAAAAACTTTGTGAAAAGAGTTTATTGGAACTATAAAATTACAGCACGTATTTACATGTTTTTGTTTTTTGGTAGCACACGCAAAAATTAAAGAAAAC